CAGGTCTTGGAGCATCAGGACGGAGCCTACCCCCAGACAAGTAGAAAGGAACCCAACTGGTGGTGGTGGGGAGGAAGGAGGGAAACATCAAAATGTAGGCAAACTGCTCATTACTCATTATATTTAAAAGGTGCCTTTACTCTGAACACAGCCTGTTGTGCTTGATTAAAATTACGAACTGATGATTCTGTTTGAACCAGTAGAAACATTTTGAACAACTGCCTTGCAATACTCTCTTATTGAAGACAAAGATCTTCATCCATGGGATTCATATCAGCATGATTAAACACCAACCAGCTATAACATTAAATCCACGTCCTTGTATCTACACTCATTGTCCATTTTATCAGTTATGCTTACAACAGAGGTTCACTTTGTATTTCTACAATATACAGACTGTAGTTCATCTGTTTCTCTGCATACTTTGTTACCACCTTTCTCCCTGTTCATCACTGGTCAGGACCCCCACAGAACCACCACAGTGCAGGTATTATATGGGTGGTGGATCATTCTCAGCACTGCAGTAACACTGACGTGGTGGTGGTGTGTTAGTGTGTTGCGCTGGTACAAGTAGATCAGACAAAGCTGTTGGCTGGAAATTTTTCTGTTGGTGGACTATTCTCGGTCCAGCAGTAACTCTGAGGTGTTTAAAAACTCCAGCAGCACTGCTGTGTCTGATCCACTCAGACTAGTGCAACACACACTAACACACCACCACCACATCAGTGTTACTGCAGTGCTGAGAATGATCCACCACCCAAATAATACCTGCTCTGTGGCGATCCTGTAGGTGGTCCTGACCATTGAAGAATAAGGTAAATGGGGACTAACAAAGTATGCAGAGAAGCAGGTAGGTTAACTACAGAGTGCTCCTATATGGCAAGTGGAGCTGAACTCCATGTACATGACTACCGAGCACAGCTTAGAATATTTGTACACGCATAAAATCATAGTATTTTTGATTAAAAAACAAAGATGTTTCAGTGACAATTCTTAATTTTACACACTGATTTTTAGACTCTGGGACACATTTACTTCAAAACAACAGGATCTAGCTGATTCATCAAGTGGCCTTGAGGGACAGGGATGCAGTCTCACTTGCTCCTGCTCTAAAATGCAGGGGTGTGGCTAAAATAAGGCTCCACCTGTATACTAAAACTCTTTGTGTTGTGTTAGTGACATGAAAACAGGGGTCAGTATTTTTCAAAAAACTGTAAAAAAACAAAAACAAACAAACAAACAAAAAACTTTGATATCTAATATAGATTTTTTTAACATAAAAAAGTGTTGTTTTGTTGAAATTTAGAGGTTAGGGTTTGAGACAGCCACCTCCAACAAAAAATATGCAAAAAGTGATCATAGTTATTACAGGCAACTTTCAATCAATATGATTGTGAGTAAAACGGGCAAAATTATTGTGATCTAAATTAGATGAAAAGTTATTGTGTACAGTCTTGTTTTGTGTGAAATATGCATTTTTTTGCCATATATTTTCAAAACAAGCAGAAAAACAAGTTTATTTTATTGCATAATGAGTAGTCATATTTCAATAGTATATAGTAGTAATAATAGTATAATACTGTAATAGTAAGAGTAATTGTAATAGTACAGCAACATGGTGATAATAATTATAGATGTCAAATGGTTAAAAAAAACACACACAATAGTGAGAAATTGCCATGATTTGATTATATATGCTGGTTGAGCACCCAGAGGTTAATCAACTGATCCTATTTTTTTCCACTGGCTGCTTTTGGCCATTATGGAGGTTGCAAGTGGCATAATGGAGAGCCTTTATCTGCCTGGTTGTGTTTGGCTCGATGTGGGAGCTGTCACGGGCACTGAAACGAGAATGATATGTGCTCACGCTGGCACTCGCAAAATTAAGTGGCATTGACTCTTTTCATTGACTCTGTCTCTATTGAGTGTATTGGCTGAATTTTAAAGCGAGGTTCAGTAAAAAATAACTGTACACATCTCAGCCTGGCAGACTTGCTCATTACTCCTCTTCCTTTTTCTTTTTCTTCCTCATTTCTGTTTTCTTTCTTTTTTTCTTTTTTTGGAGGCACTAATGAGCTCTGAATCAGACGCCTCTTCATGTGGCTGAAGCGGCGGTCATTTGTGGAGGAAATAGACTGACCGTCGCTAATAATAACCGCAGGAATGACAGCGGCTCTGGCTGCGGAGAAGGCGGTAGTATAGCAGTCCTGCAGGGCCAGAGCACTGATCCCCACAGCCGCAGGGCAGGCTTCCCGACTGGGACAGTGACAGCACTACTGTGGCCTTGTCACTCAGCAGGCTGTTCAGGCAGACAGGAGGCCCGTGACCCACAGCGCTTATGCTTTGGTCCATATAATAGGCTGGAGATGATGAGCTGAGTGTAGGAAGAGTAGAGGGTGAAAGTGAAGAGTGTATTTTTTAATAAATCTGGTCAGGCATCAAACAAACTGTAATAATTTGTCACTACTTGCAGATAGCAGCTTGAGTCCAGTTTACCAAAACATCCTGATGTCAAGATACTTTTAACTGGTAGAGAGAGTGTAAATGTTATGCTGGCTTTACCATTTAAGAATCATCTTAATAACTGGGTGTCAATGGGTGACAGGTCTGGACTGCAGGCAGGTCAGGTTAGCACCCAGACTCTTTTACTGTGTACTTATCCTGTTGTAATATGTACAGAATGTGGTTTGACATTGTCTTGCTGAAATAAGCGAGGACTTATCTGAAAAAGACGTCATCTGGATGGCAGCATATGTTTCTCCAAAACCTGTACATATTGTTCAGCATTAATGGTGCCTTCATAGATGTGCAGGTCACTCATTCCTTGTGCACTAAAGCGACCCCATACCATCTGGCTTTTTACTGTGCGCTGATAACAAGAGTCCCACTCTTCTTTAGCTCAGAGGATGCAGTGTGCATGATTTCCAAAAAGATTTTCAAATGTTGTTTTGTTGGACCACAAGACACTTTTCTACTTTGCCTCAGTCAATCTTAAATGAGCTGGGATGTTTGTGTATGCAGCGATGAACTGTGTTCACAGACAGTGGTTTTCAGAAGTGTTCCTGAGCCCATCCAGTGATTTCCACTACAGAATCATGTCTGTTTTTAATGCAGTGTCACCTGAGGGCCCAAAGATCATGGCTAGCCAACATCGGTTTTTGGCCTTGTCTCTTGCATACAGAGATTTCTCTGGATTCTCTGAATCTTTTAATAATATTATGTACCATAGATGAAATTCCCAAGCTCTTTGCTATTCTACATTGAGAAACGTTGTTCTTGAATTGTTGCACTATTTGCCTGCGCAGTCTTTCACAGAGTGGTGAACCCCTCCTCCACTTTACTTCTGAAAGACACAGCCTCTCTGGGATGCTCTTTTTATACCCAACATGCATGATGATTATATTAATTAAAAATGATTAGAAGCATTTCTCAGAAATCATGAGGTCTACTCTGAAGGTCTAGAAGACCTCTGGGGATTGTTCATTGCAGTCTAAATGCAGCAGAATGACAAGGATAATAAATTCATACAAGAATATATGTGTTGTATATATCAGGGTTTTACACAGTGCCAGTCAAGGTTCTTTGACTGTTGTTTTGCCGTCAGTGTGGTCAGTGTGTGTGTTTGTGTATGTGTTTTCTTGCTCTGGTCTGGTGTGAGTTCACTGGCACTTGTCGGCTCATATGATTAAGCTCAACATTAGTGGAATGAGCCAGAGAGGAAACATAAACTCTACTCCGTGTGTGAGTGTGTGTGTGTGTGTGTGTGTGTGTGTGTGTGTGTGTGAACGAGTGTCCAACACATCTGAATGCATGACAACAACTGATACAGTGCCTGGACAGTCTCTCTCTCTCTCTCTCTCTCTCTCTCTCTCTCTCTCTCTCTCTCTCTCTCAGTCTAATCCTTCCTCTCTTTTTCACTCACTCTCTTCTATCTCTCATTCCATCTCTCTCTTTCTCTCTCATTTTTTCCTTTCTATCTCTTTCTCTCCCTCATTTCTTTCTGTCTATCACTCTTTCTCTGTGCCCTTCATTCATGTCTCTCTTTTTCTCTTTGTTTTCCTTGTCCCTCTTTTCCCCCTATTTTTCCTTTGTATCTCCAGTCCGTTCCATTTCTCTTTCTCCCCCTTGTCTATCCTTCATTTTTCTCTCTCTTTAATGCTCTCTTGCACTGTTTTTCCCCTTTTTCTCTTTTTCTTTTTCTCCCTTGCTGTCTCTCTCACTCCTTCTCATCACTTTCTTTCCCACTTTCTTCTCTCTTCCTCTCACCCTCCCTCTCTCTTTCCTTCTCTCTCTTTTTTCCTCTCTCTCTTTACCTCTTTCTCTCCTTTTTTCTCTTTCCCTCTCCTCCTCTCTCTTTCCTCTTCCTCTCTTCCTTTCTCTCTTTTTTCCTCCTCTCTCTCTCTTTCTCTTTACCTCTTTTGCTCTCTTTCCATGTCTCTCTCTCTTCTCTCCTCTCTCCCCCCTCTTTCTATTTCCCTCTGTCTCTCCCTTTCTCCCTCTTTTCCTCTTCTCTCTCTCTCTCTCTCTCTCTCTCTCTCTCTCTCTCTCTCTCTCTCTCTGCCTCTCTCTTCCCCTCTATATATATTTTTGTCTCTTTATCTCTCCTCTCCCTACCCTCCCCCACCCCCGTGGCTGGAAGTGTAGTACCTGTTTATGTGTAGTGGTGTGGCATTCCGGGCGTGGGCCCAGAAGCAGGCTCTGGAGCCCAGATCAGTCGAATAAGTACAGTTGGTCATAGCTCATCACAGCCTGGGCCGCACAGAGACGTGACCTGGCATCAGGCCAGCGCGAAGCAGACAGCGCAGGCAGACGCAGGCGTGGCCCCGCACTCCTCTGCCTCTCTCCTCTTCACTCTCTTCTCACTCAGGCCTCTTACACCACACTATGCTGTAAACATGAGTGATACAATCTCACAGCAAGATGGATTGCCTCCTGGCCATCTTAGACACCTCCTGACACTCTGCAAGAGGAGAAAAGAGGCTTGACTGGTGGAAGGACGGGGAGGAGGTACAGAAAAAGTGAGATAGCACAGAGGAAGTGTGAGGGAGAAAAGAATGAGCATCTCTCAGAGCTGGCAGGTATGTTCGAGTTCTGGTCCACAGGGAATACGCAATACATCTGAACATGAGAGCTGTGAGATTGGTGTGAACTCCAGATTCCAGACCCAAGACGGTTTAAACCAAGAGAAACTGGAGGCACTCCAATCATACAGACACCATGCTGTCAAGTAACTGACTGATTGAGCAGTTGTATTGCTTTGGCACTTAGTACACTCTCTAAAAAGATTCTGTATACACTGTAAAAAATAATTTTGTGATGAAAACACTAGTTGAAAAGTATCCTGGCTGCCTTCAAATATGTATACTTTAAAACTTCACATGATCAGTTAATAAGTTAGAGAGGCATTCTGATTTATTTTTATATTTGAGTATCTGTAAAAGATTGGTTATTTGGTTATTTGCTGGTAGTAAATAAATAAATAAATAAATACATAAATAAATAAATTTTTCAGGAGGTATTATTACATGAGGCCTAAAAAAACATTAACACAACAATTTAGCAGCACACAGAGGAATATGTGTTTTATAATTATAAAATATAGATTAGAGAAATCAGTAAGTTTATACACTGAATGAGTAACAGAGGCTGCCTCTTCAGATGAGCTAATTAGACAACACTACAGCTAACCAGCTTGTATGCAAAAGTTTGGGCACCCCTTGCCAAACTACATATCTCTCTGCAGCTAATTCTTTAAACATTTTTGTACAAATGTTAAAGCACAGTTACTTTGTATTTGTTTAATGTGAAAAACACACCAAAAAAATAGTAATTGTGATGTGCGCAAAGGTTTGGACACCCTACTAAGTCTATACTTAGTAACACCCCTTTGGCAGATAATAGCTTATAAAAGCTTTTTGTAGACAGTTGGAAGTCTCCTCTTGTTTTATTTATTTATTTTCACCCACTCTTCCTTTCACAGAGCATCTAGTCCTGCAATATTCTTGGGCTGGCTTGTACACCCAGCATGTTTAAAATCTATCCACAGATTATAAATTAAGTCCAAGTCAGGGGGCTGTTAGGATCATTTCAAAAGCTTCAGCTTGCATTTCTTGAAGTAGTTCGTAGTGGATTTTGAGGTATGTTTAGGATCATTGTCATGTTGTAGATGCCAGCCTCTTTTCAGCGTCACTTTCCTGACTGACTGTATCACATTTGCTGTCGACTTTATTGACACAGTCATAGGTAAGGTTTCCTTCCAATGACTGTTCAATGCAGATCTTGTTGGTACAAGCACAGTGTCAGCTAAACCTTTATGAGGTTCCTTGGCTGTCATAGCACACAAGCAGATTTTTCAGAGAGTTTTCTTGTCTTCTACAGCTTATCTTGGCCTCCACGGTTCCCCTTAACTACCACGTCTTAATGGCATTTTAGACAGTGAAAATTGCTTTGTATAGACATTTCCCTGCTTTGTAGGCTTCAGTTAGCTTCATTTTTAGATGCTAAGCCAGCTGCTTACATTAGCCCATTGTTATTGTACACAGTTTGAAGTGTTAGAGAATTTACTACACTCTGGAATAATTAATGACAATCTTGTCCTGCTTAACCAGTCCTAACAAGTCAATTAAAGCATGATGAATTAATTAGGTTAGCAGAAGCACCTTTCTGGTACTAACTAGAATTCTTTATCAAAAGGTCTTTTAAGTCTTTTATACAACAGGTTCTCCAACACTGAGAAAAACTATTTCACTATGCAAGAACATTTAAGCATTGAAATTATCATATTGTCAGTTATTGTCATATATATATATATATATAACTTGCCTTAAAACACCCTTGAAGAACCCACTTCTTTTGAATGGTGTAATTTTCCATTCTTAAATGTAAATGTGTTGGGACATCCAGAGCCTACTTGTGTGGTAATTCCATGTCAGTACCCTTTTAGTAGGAACATAGAAGCCAGTGATAACCCATTATATAATCTCAGTCTTTCAGAATAAAAGAGTCAGTAATAACCAACGTTTGCAATAACTTAATGAGTCTGATAAACTTTCCCTGCAGTGTCACTGATTGTGTACTCTGGGCCACTGCTTGATTATTCTTTGGAATATTCAACTTTTACTCTCCAAATGAGGGATTAGGTTTAGGCTATTTTCCATACAAATGAAGATTAGGTTTCACACTCAGTGAAAAATGTTGCTTTGCTCTGCAATAATTCAGCTCTCTCATTTAACAAAGCCTTGTTTCTTCCCCAACAGGGGAACAGCGTGATACATATAAGTGCATTAAAGGATTTTCTCAAACCTCCTTTACTTCCTCATCTAATGGGTTTATTCTGCTGTGCTCTTTCTTGCCGAAGTTATTGTTATTGTTTTTTTCCACCTTCAACAAATATCCATTTCTTTTCCATGGAGCTAATGCAAATACGCTGGATTGTGAATGTAGGTTTGATGTCCTGTTTCTTGGTCCTCTTTTGTTCATGTTGAATGGATTGCATTTACTCAGGAGCATGTCGTTAGCTAAAGGAGTTTGCCTTTTCGAAACACATCTTTATGTATCAAATCTGTGGCACTTTGTTGTTCACCCTCAGATAATTCTCTGATTGTTTAGAGAATCCTAAGACATGTATTGCTAATCACCATGCTCTTTCACTCTTTAAAGGGGGGCATTCCAACCTAATACCCATAAAACCATTGTGAATTCCAATCCTGAATGACTGATCTGTAGGCTTATACATGCAATCAAAGTGGTATTAGTGTAACTTCAACCTCAGCTGTTGAACCAAATAGTAAAGAAAACAACTATTCCATCTTAATTCAGCTTAAATTGATGTTAGAGACAAGTTTTTTACCCTCTCATCCAGACAAAAGAGACCATCCTAAGGCAAAGTATCTGTATATCCAGACAACTGCCTTGCTAATTTGTCTTGCTTTTAGCATTTAGCTTGATGTCCTCCTTATCTAAAGAGTCATTTCTGATGAGTAATCCATTCTCTCCATTGTTATGATGATTTGATGACGTTTACCACAGTTATATGGCTGCAAAAAGATATTCAGCTTCCTAGCAGTAATTTCAGTTATCTGCCTATTTTCTACATTCACCAGTTAATGAAGAAAAAAATGAAAAATAGCCCCCAAAAATCTGCCCCAAAGCGGTTGTAGTTCTTCCCACCTTCAAAATAGATAATCAGAAGAGGACTTTTCCAGTCTTTAAAATGGAAAATATCACTCTAGAGATTACTGCAGCACTGTTGTGAGAGGCAAGTAGGCATGTTTAAAATAAATGTAGCAATGGGTACATTTTTCATTTTTGGCGTGAGTTCTGATACACCTGATTCAAGTCATCAGTGAATAGTTAATTGCAAGGTTTGGCTGGAGAGATAGAGCAGGGAAAACACCAAACTGTGCTGGACTTTGACCTTCAGTTCCCCACCCTTGTCATAGAATAACCACAACTAATGTTTGGTTTCCCACCCTTGTCCACGTTTAAGACACCTAGGGCACAGATTCCCAACCCTGGTCCTGGAAGACCCCATGCCCAGCACATGTTTGTGTTTTCCTAGAGGATGCTTTAGTACAGACATTTGCTATTTACAGAGCCATGAAATCTCAAAAAAAACAAGACAAAAAAAAACAAAAAAATATATATAGAATGATAGTAATGATAATATATAAATAAATACATTTGAATGATTATGTGCATGGTTAAATTGTTCATCTCTTTAATGGAGAAAATGTTGTATACAGTTCTTTAAAGTGCCAAAAATAAGTTCACAAGTAGGAGAATCTTTTTTTGTTACTCCTCAAAAGCCTTATTACAAGAAATGGACAATAACACACATTACAGCAGTATGTGGTCTGCTGGGAGGCATTACCAACACCCAAGCAAAATTACTACTATTAGAAATCATTTGAATTTCCTTCCATTCCTGCTTTTGTGATAGCCATTAAAATTCACAATGAATACAGTCTTTGTTATTGCTATATATGCACTGCATTTTAATACGCAGTTCTCAGCCAGATAAAATAGTTTTAATGAGACAGTCATTAGAACAGATTGGATATGTGTGTCAGTGATATTGTGATGGTCACAGCTCTAGACCATAGTTTTAAAGTAAAATCAAGTTTATTGCATCTAGACAGGACTTCAGACAAAGCTATGTCGCACTAAAAATGTGTGTCATTGTAGCTAATGGTGTTATTGGAGTTAATGGAATGACTTTGGGAAGGAAAATGAGCAGCACCACCAGTCACATTAGAAATCTGCTTTATCATAACTGAAGGGTGGAAAATATAAAAAAATAGTTTTAATTCCCTGCACAGTTCCTATTTTAATGTGAGTCATGTTGGTTTAATGCAAGACATCAACTCTTAGTATCCTATTATGCTCTGAAATGGCAATTCCACAAACATTCATAGCTCGGCTTGATTGCCTTTACAAAACTCATTACACTTCTGACCTATCAGAACTGAGACTCTTGTGCCAGGAAATTGAGGCATGCAATTTGGAGCTGCTGCTTCCTCTGCTAATTGCAGGTGGAGGAGGATGCAGCGAACGTATAACAGGAATTTTAGCCAATGGGCTTCCAAAGGTGGAAGCGCTCAATGTCTGAAGGCACTGATGTTAGCCAAAGTACTATGTTCATGGTAATTGGGTTCATGACCTTGATCGTCATCTGTCACAGAGTCAGAAAATTTCCTCCGAGTGAAACTGTCAACATTAGAAGCTGAGAGACAACCGGACTTTCCCAGCAATTTCTGAACTGCACACTCATAAAAGGCCTCGTCCCATGTTTTTGAATTTGAAGGATTTAAATTCCAGCGTAAATTCTGCAATGCAAATGAGACTAAAGACCCACTTTCATCTTCTTCAGAGGAGCCATAAGTGTAAACATTATGGAAGGCGCTGCACTGGGATTGAGAAGAGCCTCTGCACAAAATGATGTGTTTTTCTTAGAAAATTTCTTTATATTCTGCTCCAAATTTTCAAAACGCTTCATGAAAATTAATGTGTGCTTTTCGCTTAAATAACGTAAGAGACTAAAAACGACACTACATTGCATCCTCACATGATGTTTTGT